GGAGAAGGGGTTGCGGCGTGGCCATCTCCCCCTGGGGGTGATTTCTCACTTTCTGTCTCTCCGTCTCTGTCTTTCTGGAGAGCGCACACACCTTATAGCAAAAACCTCTCAAAGAAAAAAAAAAAAAGAATTGTAATCAAGTCACACGTGTAAATTTAATCTACTAATCATATTTTAAAAGAAGTAAAATTAATACTCATCACCCACATTATCATTTCGACATGTTAATATAAGAAATTATCCTTTTCCATCTGTCTTCAACAGCAGGCATTTACTTCAACCTGTCAACACACCTCAATCTCGCCTAGCCACATGTGGGTGGTGGCTACCATGCTGACAGCAGTGTCAGAAGGAATAAGGGAGATGGTGTCTCCCCTTCCACCCTATTGCTGTGGACTGGACCCCCCTCCTAAAAGCTCAAATTCCTCACCTTTCTTTCAGAAAGCACAGTGAAGACACGGTAGAAGCCACCATCATCTCGGGCCCAACCTGGCACAGCAGCTCCCCAAACAGTGCCCCATCCTCTGCTCCTCCCTCCCGCCTCTCTGCACTGAGTGGCTAGATGTTTTTTGGAACGCTTTTTAAAAAGACAAATCGTAGGGCATTCACCTCCTTAGAGCTCTAGGGCAGTGATTCTCAAAAGTTTTGGTCTCAGGACCTCGTAAAATATACCAAGGACCCTAAGGGGCTTTTGCTGATGTGAATTATCAGTACTGTGCTAGAACACGAAGAATACACAAGTACACATTCCACTCGCTGTAAGAATGTCCATTGTGTAGCTTCTGGAAAACTCCACCACACACTTTCTCCAGTGAAAGTGGCGAAGAACATCTTCATATTTTTATAAAAATAGCCCTTATCTTGGCTCACCCCCCGAGAGAGTCTCAGGGAGACCACACGTGGAGAACCGGTGCTCTAGGGCCAAGTCCATCTTCCTTGCCCGAGGCTGTGTGTTCCCCGCTACCTGGCTAAGCCTACCTGTGGCTCCCGGCCCCGCTCCCACGCTCCTCACACCGACGGCTAATCCTTTCTTCCAAGAACCAACGCCTCCTGCGCGCCTTCGGGTCCCGGATTCCTGTACCTGGTCCACCTCTCCCCCCAACCCCCGGGCCAGGTCAGCCTCGGCAGCCCCGAGATCGCAGCGGTACTGACGTGACTGTGGACTCCTCGTTCGATGCCTGTCTCGGGAACTGTGGGCTCGGGGGCAGCGACGAGCCTGTCTGCACCGCCGACGCCCCGCGCCCGCGCGCCGCGCCGAGTGGGCCCCGGCCCAAACCCTGCCGCAAGCGGGACAAAGGGAGCAGCGGCGCGGCTCACCGACCCCGCGCGGCGGGACAGTCGGCCAGACCCGCGGGAACGGGGGCCAAGCACGTGGGAATAAAGCTGTCTTCCAGTGCTTCCGGCCGGCTCTCTACTTTTCCCCTTCCCAGCGCAACGGACCGCATGACCTCCCGACCTCCGGGCCCCTGCCCGAACAGCTCGGGGCCCCGCTCCCCCACCAGCGCCCGAAACGCCCCAAAACCGCGCTGCGCCTCCGGGCAGCGTCGTGGAGTACCCGGGGTCCTCCCCGGCCTAAAACGCTTCCCGAGGGAGTTTTTACCCGCGTTCTTTTCGAGCGGGGGGTGGGGCGGACATGTCGAGCGCTGCCCCTGCCCCCCCCTGGGGCCGGGAGGCTGGAGTCTTTATCCCGGCTCGGCGCGGGGGCGGGCGGGG